CCAGTGAAAGAGGCTATCACCAGGGCTCCTGGATAGGATTCATAACCCACTGCCAGAGTCTCACAGTGACCCTACAGAGGCTTTCAGAGACTGTAAATCTTTATGGAAGCAGCCAGCCTCATGTTTGAACCACCAACCTTGCTGTTAGCAGCCCCATGTCTAATCTACAGTACCACCAGAGATCCTTCAATGGTTATAGAAGGTCCTGAAAGTTGCTTGGCAGATGTCAAGTTTTTGAAAAAATAAAAAGGCTGCATGTTGGGGCATGCTTTGGGTTGCAGACATAGTATAGTGTTCTTCACCCATCTTAAAGTGATGTGATATAATGAAGCATTAGCCTCTTGTGAACAAAGAGGGGAACACTGACATGGAGTATGAAATCAAAAGGCTCATTCATGTTGTCTGTAATGCACATAAACATTACTGAATGAGCTCTTTTGCTTTGAGGATGTCCAGGAAAGTTCATGCTTACTCATTTTTTAAAGAAGGGTGGTACAAGTATTTCCACCCAAGACAAGTCCATCAAAGTCCTGTCAAGATTCTCAAGGGCAGAAATTGAAGGAAAGAAGAAAAATTCCATGGCTTTATGTTTTAGACAAGAGTGGACTGGCTCAACTTGCCATTGTGGTTGTTGCGTGCCATTGAGTTAGTTCAGACTCAGACACCCTTTATAGGGTTTCTTCAGCTTCAGGCTGAACTTGCAGATGAGCAATTGATGGTCTGTTCCACAGGCTGCCCCAGGCCTTGATTTAGTTGATGATACGGAGCTTTTCCACCATCTCTTTAATAAAAGGAGACTTATATTTTCATTGCTCATAGGGATTTTGAAGTTCTCCACGGTGCCTGAGAAAGCATTACATATTCTAACAAATGTTTAAGTGTTCAGGAGTTAATAAGCCTGTTAAATTGTGGAGTCACCTCAACCATAATGTTCGTGCAAATGAATTTATATTGGGAATGTAAATAATCACATGCTTTATAAACACAAAGTAAAAGGGATCATCCCCTTTCTTGAAATAAAAATGCTAGTGAGATACATAACCAGTTTCATTCCATTTCCTCGCCAAAGCAAATTGGTTTACTTGTTTTCATTCAACAAAAATTGATGGAACACTGAAGTCAATGGTAACAAGACATATATCCTGCTCCCTAGGACCTTACATCCATTTACAGTTAAAATATTAATGGGAGATTTATGCTTCCAATCAAGATGGAGTCATAGGGACTTGATTTATCCTCCCACCTGACACACCAAAAAAGAATAAAATGGGAACACATGAAACTGGTTTTAAAGATACTGGACATCAGGCTACAAAAGACAGGGCTCTTAAAGGATAGAAGACAAACAAGGTGAGTCTATGACTATCCCACTTACTACCTTAGGAGACTACGCTGCTTACTGCACTTAGTTATTCAGGAAGGCTCCCAGAGTTCAGGAGACAGATTGAGGTTTGGGGACACCAAAGCAGCTGCAGTTCACAAGACAGAGGACAAGAGTGAAGAGAGCTGCAGAGACAACCCCGCATACCAACAGAGGGTCTCCTAGACCACTGATGAGAGCACTTACGGCTCAGGGTATGTAAACAAGGAACTAACCACCTGGAAGGATGAGCCGCACAAGCACTCAGCACTCACATGGGGCCAGGACAGCACACCTGGTGTCATCAGTCAAGCTGGAGAAACTCTTGATTGACAACGCATTTAGGAATCAGAAGATCTTGCCTCTGTTTCGGGGAATAATTGCTCTATTTGGAGCACTCATGCGGGCTGGGCCTGCCTAGCAAATTACAAAACCAAACCCCAAAAGCACCAAACTGTTTCCAAGTCATTTAACTTCATCTCCAAATAAAAGAATATGTATAGGGATATATATCCAGCACCCAATCAAGTAACATTCACAATGTTTGGCATCCATCCAATAAAAATTACAAAGCATACAAAGAAGTGGAAAAATATGTCTCCTGAAGAAAAATCCAGTGATACCAACCCAGACATGATTTAGAGGTCAGAAATAATGAACGGTAAGAGTCATAAGAGTAACTGTACTTCATGGGTTCAAAAACTTAAGTTTATGCCCCAAAGATATTTTTTTAAAAGAAAGAAAAACAGTAAATCCAAAGTCCATTGTTCAGAAATGAAATTGACAATTTCTGAGATGAAAAATACACCGGACCAAATGAATGGAAGACTTGGGCACTAAGCAAGACAAGACTGGTGAACTTGAAACATTACAGCAGTAACAATACAAAACATGGAACGAAAATGACAGCCATTAACAAAACATGTTATTTCTAACAGCAAACAACATGAAATACTTATGGAAAAATCTGATAAAATAACTGACATAAAATTCATAATAAGATGTATACATTGAAAACTGAAAAGTACTACTGAGTGAAATGAAATATCTGGAGGAAAAAAAAGCAGAGCTGGACCACATACTGGACTCCTGGATTGGCACTGTAACATCAGCACTGGACTGTGAATCACAAGTTGGCAGTTCAAACCCACCAGTTTCTCCTCGGATAGCTTATACAGGGTCGTTACGAGTCAGAACCGACTTGACAGCACTCAACAACAAAGACCACGTACATGAATCGGAAAATTCAATAGTATTAAGGTGTTAATCTTCTCCAAACTGATCTAAGGATACAAAAAGGAAAAAGGGTAAACACGTGGACTAAAGCAAAGAATGGAATGTAAAAATAAACTCACAGAAATATAGTAAATTTGGTTGGTTGCTGAATGGGGGTGGCGGAAAGAGAGACATAAAGAGAGCGAAACAAGTAAGAAAACAGGATAGTTCCATATGCCGTCTACAAGAGACATACCGAAAAGATGGAGACAGCCTAAATACCCATCCAGAGAAGAATGGCTAAACAAACTTGGTGTGTACACAAAATGTTGAAAAGTAGTGATAAATCTGTGAAACACCTCACAACATGACTGAACCTGGAGGACCTGATGCTGAGTGAAATTAGTCAATCACAAAAGGACAGACACTGTGTGATACCAATGTTGTGAATCTTAACTGTTGGTACAACGCAGGAGATTGCTACCAAGTAATGAAGCAGAGTGGGTGGTTTGTTGAGTGGAAAACTGATGATCTGCTCTGTGAACCTTCACTCAATTCACACTAAAAAGTTGAAAAAAAAAAATTTTTTTTTTTTAAATATGTGTTAGTAGATCCAATAGAAAAAGAAAGTCTTCCCTTAGAGCTGACTCTCTGAATTTGGAATTCTAGCTTCAGAACCTGTGAGAATAAATTCGTGAAAAACAAAACACATATATATAATAAATTTGGATTTTAATAAAGATTCAAAGGCAATTTACTGTAGAAAGGACAGTTTATTGAACAAATGACATCAGAACAGCTGAACATCCATATGGAAAAGAAAATGAATCCTGGCCTATACCTCACACTGTATTCAAAAATTAATTTAAAATTGATCACAGACCTAATTGTAAAGCTTAAAGCCATAAAAATCCTAAGAGAAAAACTGAGGAAAATATTTGTGAGCTTGGATCAGGTAAAGCTTTCTAAGATATAGCAACAAAAGCACAGTCCGTAAAAGAAAAATCTGATAAACTGGAATTCATCAAATTTAAAAACTTCAAAAAGATACTATTAAGAGAATGAAAAGACAAGCCCCAAAGTGAGAAAGAATATTTTCAAAACAAGTAGTTGATACTGGATTTGGATTCAACTGATAAAGCTCTCTCAAAACTCAAAAATAAAAGACAATCCAGATTAAAAATGGATTCATTTCATTTATTCACAGACATTTCATGAAAGATATGAAAAGATATACAACATCATCAAGCTTAGGGAAATGCAAATTAAAACCACAATGAGATACCACTATAAACTTATTAGAATCGTAAAAATAAAAAAAAATTAAAATATGACCACCCCAAGTGATGATGAAAATGCTGGACTCTCACGCACTACTGTGGAAAATGGAATGAAAACATAATGTATTTTCCCCAGGAACACACCAAAGCCCCCTTATACAATGGCACAACCACTTTAAAAACACTTTGACAATTTCTTTAAGTTACATGTATACCTACCAAATGACTTGCGTACTTCATTCTTAAATATACTTCAGAGAAACGATAGTATTTGTCAATATAACAACTTGCACACAAATGTTCATAACAGCTTTAATTTGTAAGAGCCAAGCACTGCAAACAACCCAAATGTCCACCAATAAGTGAATGGATAATCTATTCATGAAATACACTCAGCAGTTACAAAACAAAACAAAGATGAATTTACATAAAATTCTATAAAATGCAAACTTAGGTGTTGTGACAGAAACATGAGTGCATGCCTGAGAAATGGGGATGGGTGATGTGGGGATGGAGAAGGGGAAAAGGAGCACAAGGACCCTTGGGGATGATGATGGGTAAGTTCAGAATCTTGATTGTGGTGACAGTTTCACTTGGTGTAAATAAATACGTAAACACTTATCAAATAGTGTACTTCAAATATGTAAAAGCTATTTTATGTCACATACGATTCAAGCAAAGCTATTAAAAATATTAATGGATTCCATATTTTAGAGATTCTGCCAAGAGAACTATTATTTTCATCTTCAAATATTAAATTGCCTTGGTACATACTTAGTTTTACTCTGGCAAAAACAAGTTAGAACTTTATTTTTAAAGCTGCACCAAGAAAAGCAAAAGGTATAGACATTAGCTCACTGGAAACAATATTGTACATACTACAAAAAAGGGGCAATGAAAATGAGCAATCCTAATTCATAGATGAAATCAAATCTGACCTAATCCTTGACAATGAGTGAGATCCAAATCCACTGCCATCAAGTCAGTTCCAACTCGGGGAGATCCTATAAGACTGAGTAGAATTACTCCACAGGGTTTCTGAGACTGTAAATCTTCACAGAAGCAGACTGCTTTGCCGTTCTCACTCAGAGTGGATGGTGAGTTTGAACCACTGACCCTTTGGTTACAAGTCCAATGCTTAACCACTATGCCACCAGAGCTCCCGGGAGTTCATTACTTGGCGTCTGCCGGTCTTCTCTGTCCTGCACACTGCTGTGGATTCCAGAAGCTGAGCCCTCAGGTTTGGAAAGCTGGACTGTTGTTTTCAGTTGTTCTCCAAGCTCCTCTATGAGAGGCCCAGCCACTCCCGGAGCATTAGAAGGGGCAAGTGGTTTCCCCTGACAAGTCCCAGACATCAAGAGGGCCATGCTTCTGCAAATCCCATCATCATCATCAGTGAGCCTGGCACTGCTCTCTTCAAGAAGGGGACTCTGCAAAGAACCTACTGTCTTGGATTCATTCTCTTGGAGGTCGTCTTGTTCTGAATCTGAGTCTTGAGTTCCGGAGGATGAGGTCCTGTCTGATTCCTCCGAATCACTTGCCTCAGGACTGGAGCGAGGTGTCTGCTGCCCGGAGACAGAGGAGGCTGCTTGTAATGCAGCCTCTTCCTCCTGAACCAGAAGGGCTGCTGCTTCCAGCTCCTCCAGTTCTAATCCCAGCTGGGCCTTGGTAAGGGATTGCTTCTTTAAGGCTTCTGCAAGGGATGCCAATTTTCTGGACCTTAGAAAAAAAAATGTTTTTTTTAATAATGTTAGGAATATTGATTAATATTCACAAAATAAAGCTGGATCTACAAAGGATAAATTCCAAATCAGTCAACGTTCTTCAATATCATCTCTTTACAGTTCTAGAGAGAAACATCTCCTGATGTGACAACTAGAAAACGCAGCAGTGGATGAAAATGCAAGCGTGCTGACATGGCTTCTGCCATTGTCTGTGACTAACCTGCCGACTGCAGCTATGTTCCAAGGCACCTCTGGGTGCAGTTAGTCCCCTGCTGCCTCCTCACAAGCATGACCCTAGACACAGAAGCACCACCACAGAGGCATCGGGGGCAAAACCATCGCTAATGACCCTTCTTAGAAAAACCAGTGAGTTTCACTGAAAACATATTCAGAAGGCTCAGAATAGGGGAGGCTAGCTGGGGTAAAGAGGAAACTAAGGTCAGTGAGAGTCCATGAGTGAGTCACCAAAGGGCAATAAAAACCCAGGTTGAATTTGATCACAAATGAGCCATGTTTAAAAACACTGTTGAGGAGGAAGATGGCTGCAGCACAGTTTATGCCCATAGCGTCTACCGTATGCAAGGGGGCTTCACAGAGTGTAGAGAAATGGAAAGATAATGGAATTTGTCCATAAACTTTTGGAAGCTTTCCTTCCTCCTCCCCACCACCTAGTATTCTGAAGTATTGGATACCAAGTAAAGAAAGGCTCTGAAGAGAGTTGGTGGATTACTTTGAAACTTCTTATCCTAGGATGGCTCTATAGATATTGTAAAAAAAAAAAAAAAGGAAAGAAAAGACATTTAAAACAAACATACAGTCTTGGTGTGGCGCTGTAAGATAAGCACAGGACTGCAAGGTCGGTAGTTCAAACTCAGAAGCCACTCCTCAGAAACCCCATACAGGGTCGCTAAGTATTGGAAACAAATCGATGGCACTTAACAACAACAGAGATTTAAGAGGGGAAAAAAATAGAATTATTTTTGTATTACTGAAGATATCAAACACATCAATTTTCAAACTGAAACTATTTGGACTTTTGCTACAATCTACTATAAAAAGCATTATACCATGTCTTTGGTAACAGTATTTAAATGTGGAATTTCATAGCTGCCTGCGATAATCCCAGCACTTTTCAAAAAGCATATATGTACTACATATAGTGGGGCATGAAAAGTGTCAGCTGTAACAGAAAGCCTTTGAGAGTAGAAAGTGACATGGATCAACCACGTGACTCCTATAGGAAGTCACGCCTGTTACAAGCTGACATAAATTTTTATGCTTTAGGAAAAATGTGTTTCTCACTCTACACTATGTTGAAAATGGTGAGGTAAGGTAATAAATGTAAAAATTGAACTACACATTCATTTTTGATCTTTACTAATTGTAAGGCCTCCCATTAAGTGAATCTATCTCTATTTCCAGTTCTACTACATGAACGTGACTAGTTTACAAAATTAATATTAAAGTTCTGAGAGAAACTGAAAACTTACAGAAGAATTCTGTACTCTGCCCTCAAAAAAATGCTATGAAAAAAGTGAAGAAAAATGCACGCTCTGATTGGTGACCACACACATCACCGATGGGGGGAAGTGGGGTAAAAGCAGCAATGAAGCAGCAAACTAAGCCCCAC